TGTTTGTGTGTTTGTGTGTGTGTTTGTGTGTGTGTGTTTGTGTGTGTGTGTGTTTGTGTGTGTGTTTGTGTGTGTGTTTTTGTGTTTCTGATTGTATGTGTGTCGCGCTTGTTGCAATGCGACCTGAACTGCAAAAGCTCGGGCTTGGGTCCCGATGCGCTTCCATGTTAACATCCATGGGTTCCGTGCGCACGTGCATTTATCCCCCGTTCGACATCGAGAAAGTGTAGTGCAGTCCGGTAGAGCTCCTCAGCACATTGGTGTCCCGTTTTCCTCCAACGCAAACGCCACACCCAAAATGTCCTAGAGAACAGCCAATGTGTTTGCATGCAGCGAGTTCAGTCGCCCTGCGAAGCTGCTTGAATAGCCCAGCAGGAGCATCCCTTGTCGATTTCTCATGCGATCCCTGGCCTGTGTCTCGCAGCCATGCGGACACATGCTCTGCCCGATCACTCGAGGTCTGCATGCTTTTTGCCAACGTCGTGGTAAAGGTTGCTACAGTCACGCCACTGCTGGCCTGGATGCGTTGGTGCACTTTCCTGTACTTCTCAATGGCAGGGCTCATCGAAGCTGAGTTCGCTGGCACCCTGACCGCAAACGCACCGACTTCAGCCTTGGTCCATTTGCCAGCCATGGTATGCTACAGCAAAAGATAGCTAAAGTCATCTTGCGAATTGCCTGCACCAGGTACGAAAGAGCAGGACTTTCCAGCAGGAGACCGTGTTGTCGACACCTTCCGCATTCGCTGGGGCGATGGAGAAGACGCCCACATCCTGAGTGAGGGAGACTGCTTCAAGTGCTTGTGGTGCTTCTACTTGTTCTTCTCCATGGTTGGTTTTTTCGCGTTGAAATTTGGAAGCAAGTCTCAAATATGAAATGCTGATAGACCTTAAGCATATCTCGTTGTGAAGCCGGCAAAAAGATGCAGCCGATGGATTTGGCGTCGGGTCGAGGGTACAGCCCCACACACACACACACACACAATCGGTGTGGATGGTTGGTTGCTCTGCTCCGAGGATCGCTTTGCAAGGTTTCAGAGGTTTCCGAGAAGACGATACCTGTACCTGTAGAAAGCTTCAGAGTCAGGATGGTTGGGTCCTCCACCCTCAGCGACAATGGGCAACAAAGAGCATGTGGTACTGAAAGAAATTCCCGGTTATCGCCAGGACCTGTGCATACAAGATACAAGGGCAACACTTCTTGAGTACTGCTTAAGTCTGCTACTCCGAGCGCCGGCTGCAGCAGGGAGGAGGTGACAAGCACATCTCCTTGAACTAATCACTTGGTTGGCGTAGCAAAACGGCTCTTACCCATGGCAGGTCTGAATGCGAAGAGAACGGCCCCACGTCGGCCCCCAAGTCTTTGTGGCGGTTTCTCACGTTTTCTCCAGCTTCGTGGACCCCACTGATATTTCCGGAAGAGTTCGCACATCTAATTCCAACATAGCCCGAAACAAGCAGGATGAGATGAGGAGTCCATGCATCTGAGAACGCCAGTGGCAGCCGCAATATTTCTCTTAGATTTTCTGACATTTAAAGCTTTAAAACCACGCGTATCCTGAAAAGGGAAGCAGCATAGTGGCTTCCAGGAAGTCTGCAGCACAGACACTTTCTTGTGGATCGGGGAGGAGAACGTTGCTGAGCAGACAGTTTGTACAGTCAAAACGAGGAGGAGTCAGGCAAATGTAAAATATATCATCCGCCACGCCAAGGATCATGCCGCAGACGTGGGACTACAGCAGACAGAAACCGCGGGCGCGCGCGCACACACACTCAAACGACAAAAGCCACACGCCGTCACGGAGCTGAGAATACGGAATACGGACCTCTGCATGCAGTAGCTTCAACCAGGGCTTGCCTCAGCCAGGTGCGGCCGAAAAAGTGCCTGATGTGATGCAGTACAAGCCGAATGAATTCCACAAAGCAAGCCTACCGAGCGGCCGTTCCAAGCTTGCTGCTGAACAGTCAGGAACAGCCAAGGTCCGGAACAGTGCGATTTGCCGTTGTAGTTACATCAGCGAGCCAGCAAAGAATCAAATGTCTTCATGTGGATCTAGAGCTTTCGCAGAGAGGCTTGAATGAAGTATTGGCCACTGGAGAAGGCTGAGAGCAGCGAGCCAGTGTGTTTCTTCCTGTGCAACCTTCAATGCTACCGCAAGTTAGCCGTAAGACACACGATTAGGTGAAGCAAGCAACGTCCCCGTTTTTGGAGCCGGTGTACTGCAAAAGTTGCTCAAGCTTCCTTTGGCAAATGATTATGAGCTGATGCAGAGAGCAAGTTCAGGACGTGGTGGTGGCAAGTCACGGACGACAGCTCCCTTGGCATTGCGCCACAGGCATCGTCAGAAAGGTTCTGCGAATTACAGAAGAAAGTATTGTGCTACATACTTCCTCTGGGTCGGACGGTTCTGCCGATCAATGGTGTTCGCTAATAGGTCTGCGAATATTTGCAGACCGCTGCTAGCTTGAGGCGCATGATGTCGAAGTAAGTGCTACAGACATCGAACCTCGAATTAAGATAATCAGATACGGGGCATGCCGGCTGGGCGTGGCTGTGACAGTGCTGGCTGTGTCGGGCTGGTTAGTCGGGCGGGATCTTTTTGGCAGACGAACTAGCTCGTTCTTCAAGCAAGCTCACGGAGGCACTATGCCCTTTGACAGTGTGGTGGCCTCAATCTTCGCTCGGTTGCTCGTGCTGTCTGGAGATCTGTGGCACTCTTCAGGGGTAGAAGATCAAGGCTATACAGTTGGAAGAACCTTCGCTCTGGATTTGCGGTGACTCCGGGGCTGAGAAATAGGGAGTGAATGTTGTCGGCTAGATGAAGAGCACAAGTGTAGAAGAAGAAGATGAGATGCCGAATCTAGCCGGCCGCCGGTGGTAGCAGGTGGGAAACGTCTTGATAGTGCATGTGCGGCGAAACGATCCTCCGACCACGGAGTCCTGACACACGCTTTGCCAAGGTGGACGATCCCCGAAAGAAGGCACTGTCAATCTTGTTCAAGTGACGGTGTGCTTTCCCGTCTTTCAAGGGAGTTCGGTCTGTGAGTACTTCAGCTGGTTTCGCTTCAAATGCCTGCAGGGCCCACACACTTGTAAGACTGTTCTGGTAGGACCGAATTGCTGCCCACTAACACCACACCTGGGAGGTTGTAGGCTACACATGGATGGGTTGGGAGGACGTCGCGCTTCGGCCGCTTCTTCAGCGACTCTGGAAGTTTGCCGGAGAGGCCACTCGAATCGTTGGCTCTTAGCATTACAGTACTGAAAGAAGCATCTACCAGATGGGAATCGCACGTATAACTGTGTGGTCGACTTCTCGGTGCGATTACCTCTCCTCGTGTCGGACGTTTCAGATGCTAGAGCTTCGCCCTCGTGTTTTGGTTATTCTGGTTGAGGGTTGTGCAGGTTGCTGCAGTTTGCTGCCTTGTGTGTTCCTGATTTTATGGCTTCTTGCCGAGCTCCATTACAAGGTATACCGTTGATGTAAGGTGAGTAGACCATCCAACTTCTCTCAAGCATCGCAGAGCAAAGTCGCGATCGGAACAATCGGTCCGCCCTATCATAGATGAAGAGCAGACACACCCTCCAAGAGAAAGTTTTGATTTCTTGTGTGCAGAATGCCCTTTGCATCGCATGCCTCTGAAGTCGACCAGGACCGGCAGTTTAGAGAGCTGTGCTTAGTAAAAAGCAAGAGCTATGTTCACAACATTAGCAGCTGCATGTTTGTTTGCAGTGTAAGCCCTATCTTGGAGCCCCTGCGGTTGATCGTGTCCCACATTATTGCAGGTATGGGCAGACCTACTCCTTGAGGCTCGTGCACCTCATGTGTCTCCAGGTTTTTACAGTTGCGCGATGCCTTCCCGTTATTTCGGGAAGCACCATATGCACTTGCCAATGGAGAAGGACGGCGAGGGAGAAAATGACAGGTGAGCCAGGAAGTCGGTGGGTGGGTTGGTGCGCGCGCACAAGTTCTGCTGCATTCATGTGCGAAGCTGCAGGCATGTGCCGTATTTGATTTGATCGAGCTTACAGAGATCTTGTGCTGACCGACCAAACCACACGCCCCCAAGCCTCGACTTGTGCCAACGAGCCAACACGCAGTAAGGTCCCAGATGGGCCCAAGGGTATGTCGGAGTGAGGTCACTATCTTGGAGTGTTGAATTTGCTTCCCCTGAAGCGCGTTGGCTCTCATGGCTGAGGCTGAGGCGGTGTCTCTCGGCCGATACTTCGGCACCAGGTGCTCCGCGATTGACATAGCTGCTGGCGGTACCGACCAAGAAGGCATGGGCCATGAGCATATTTCCGTATTGTAAGTCATCTTCTGCCATGACGTATTTATATCAACAAATCATATGCACACGAAATTCCCCACTTCTTTTGAATTCGATTGAAGATCTTGGAATTAGAAGAAATTATTTTTTAGAAAATATTTTTTATAAACGAAAAATTTCAGAAATTCTATATTTAGAATTGTTGAATTTATAAGTCTTGAATTATTGAAAACCTACATTAGCTTTAAATAAATATTGTAATATAGAAAAACTCTGCGAAATAATTAAAAAAATATTTCGTAAATCTATGAATTTTGAATCGATTAGAGGATTTTATGAATTATATTTTTTAAATTTTGTATACGATGCATTTAAAAATGAGTATTAAGATATCGTTATATTTGTTAATGAATTGAAGAAACTAAATATTCTATTTATTCTTAGTAGACCTACGAGAAAATATTTAAAAACTGCAAATAAGTAATTAATTCTAGATCGATTGACTATTTCGAGATTTTGTAATTCTTTGTATATTCTATGATTTGATGGGAAGAAAAATTATTTTAATTTTGGTAATATTTCTTATAAGAAATTTTATATAAGTCTCTTAATTATCGGTGAGGTAGGTCTGGAATTAGGGGATTTGTTTTGCGATCGTAAGAATTACTTTGATACGATTTATCCGTGGCCATTTTGGCATGAGCCGATCGGCCGTGTCTAAAAGGAGAAACGATATGGGGAGCTTTTCGGGATAGGATAGATCCCTCTTGCTATATCGTTCCCGCTTGTTCAGGACTCATCGGCTTCGGTATCTCGCCGGGAGATCTCGACTTTCGGGCTCGCGAGGCGAAAT